CACACACACACACACACACACACACACACACACACACACTAACACACACGCATCACTCATTCATACACACTCTAGAGCAGATATTTAGAGAAATGTTCTGTGTTTTTTTTTGTCCAGTGTTGTTTAGTTCCTAGTGTTCTTCAAAATATCTTCTTCTAAGTTTCACACAAGAAAGAAACAGCCGGTTCATAGCAAAAATGATAACCACATTAGTGTCAACACAGACACACTATAACACTGTTTATTATAACTCTCAGTTTTGTTGTCTGCCATTTTAAAGGCTCATGTTGTATGGATTCTGATTGGCTGTCAATGTTTTAATCGTTCGTTAGCTGTAAAAATCACTCTGAAAGTTATTCCAGCGATATCCTCTGTTGATATTGTTATAGTTGTGCTGTGAACTTCACCTTTCTCTTATAGTTTGATCAATTAATAAAGCTTCATAGTTATAGTTATTGTTACAGTTATTGCAGTTATCGTTGCTGTATTGTTACAGTTATCTTTTCAGTTATTGTTGCAGGTATTGTTACAGTTCTTGTTATAGTTGTTCTTACAGTTATTGTTACAGTTATCATTTCAGGTACTTTTACAGTTATTGTTACAGTTATTACAGTTATCATTGCAGGTATTGTTACAGTTATCATTGCAGGTACTTTTACAGTTATTGTTACAATTATTACAGTTATCATTGCATGTATTGTTACAGTTCTTGTTACAGTTATCTTTTCAGTTCTTGTTACAGTTATTGTTATAGTTGTTCTTACAGTTATTGTTACAGTTATCATTGTAGGCATTTTTATAGTTATTGTTACAGTTATTACAGTTATCGTTGCAGGTATTGTTACACTTATTGTTACAGTTATCATTAGTTATTGTTACAGTTATCTTTTCAGTCATTGTTGCAGGTATTGTTACAGTTATTGTTATATTTGTTCTTACAGTTATCATTGCAGGTACTTTACAGTTATTGTTACAGTTATTATAGTTACTGTTGCAGTTATTGTTACAGTTATCATTACAGGTATTGTTACAGTTATATTTGTTCTTACAGTTATTGTTACAGTTATCATTGCAGGTACTTTTTCAGTTATTGCTAGGTATTGCTATAGTTGTTATTACAGTTATTGTTACAGTTAACATTGTAGGTATTTTTACAGTTATCTTTTCAGTCATTGTTGCAGGTATTGTTACAGTTATTGTTATATTTGTTCTTACAGTTATCATTGCAGGTACTTTACAGTTATTGTTACCGTTATTATAGTTATTGTTGCAGTTATTGTTACAGTTATCATTAGAGTTATTGTTACAGTTATCATTGCAGGTACTTTTACAGTTATTGTTACAGTTATCATTGCAGGTACTTTACAGTTATTGTTACCGTTATTATAGTTATTGTTGCAGTTATTGTTACAGTTATCGTTACAGGTATTGTTACAGTTATCATTGCAGGTACTTTTACAGTTATTGTTACAGTTATTACAGTTACCATTGCAGGTACTTGTTTCAGTTATTGCTAGGTATTGCTATAGTTGTTCTTACAGTTATTGTTACAGTTAACATTGTAGGTATTTTTACAGTTATTGTTACAGTTTTCGTTGTGGGTATTGTTACAGTTATTGTTATAGTTATCCTCACAGTTATCATCCAGCTGTTACCGTTTTCTCAACAGTTATCGTTATAGTTGTTGGTGTGAATGGGTCACGCAGGTTTGTAGTGATATGAGATTAAGTAAATGATGACAGATGTTGATTTGTGGGTAAACGGTCCCTCTGCATGAGTATTTGAGCGAACGAATGCTGTGAGTGTGTAACGTGTGATGTGTGTGTGTGTGTGTGGCAGGAGCTGGTGCAGTACTATCAGGAGAACTCGCTGAGAGAGTGTTTTAAGGACGTGGACTCCAGACTGCAGACGCCGTACAAGCAGCCGGAGCAGAGCGCCGCGCCGCAGCACAGCAGCACACGCCACGCAGGTACAGCACATGCCTGAACACAGATCCAACACCACACACACCCCCTTAACCCTGTGTGTGTGTGTGTGTGTGTGTGTGTGCAGGTGTGAGCGAGCGCTACCACGGCACGGCTAAAGTGCGTTATGATTTCTCTGCACGTGATCGAACCGAGCTCTCTCTGCGGGAGGGAGACACTGTCAAAATCCTCTCCAAGAAAGCTCACAACGGCTGGTGGAAAGGAGAGGTGTACGGCAGGGTACGGCACACACTCACACTTTACACTCACAGTTCACACAAAAATCACCTTGTCATCGTTTCCTCACACTCATGGATGACTTACCTTTTCCATCAAATCTGCACCAGACACTTATGTATTATGAGGCATTCGTTTATTACAGGAGTTTATTAAAGGGGTCATATGATGATGCTAAAAACAACATTATTTGGTGTAATGCAATGTAGTGTTGTCAAAAGTACCGACCGTGATACCATTCAGTACTAATATAAAAAGCTCATCGGTCTGAAAAGCGCGCTGTGCTCTGATTGGCCAGCTATCCAGTGCGTTGTGATTGGCCGAATACCTCAAGCGTGTGACAGAAATGTTACGCCCCTCACCATATTTGGAAACACACAGCATCTCCACAACAACAACACTACAGCGAGAATAAAAGTTACACCTTATTTCTTTGCGTATACATTTGGGCGGTGTTATGCAAGTCTTTCCACACAGTGATGTAGATTTGTGGGGGCGTGTTTAAATGAGGTGTTTTAGGAGGGCGTGGACTAATATCTCTTTGGGTCTGAGACTTTAGTCTTTGCGACTTCAGGGATCTTATCTATGCACAATCAGCTTGTAACACTCCAAAGAGAAAGGAAAACGTGAAATCACATATGACCCCTTTAATATAAACTTCTAAAATGCCAAAAACTAAAATTATTTTAAATTATTTACTTCCTTATTAAACAAGAAAATAGATATATAGATTTTGAGAGGCATTTGTATGAGAACATATTAGAAATAATCATAAACACTGTGTTCCATTCATTTCGGTCAAATACTCAATTGAATCAAGTAAATCATTTATCTGTCTGTTAAATAAATCACATCAAATCAACATAAGCCGAGTTGTGTGAACCACAAAATATGTTCAGCAGATCTTTTCCATAAAAAAATGCACCATAATTATCTTCTATCTCAGAATTTGCCCTCTGGAACCGATTTTGTAAAAGAAAAACATAAAAAAATCACTGCATCATACCAATTAAAATTCATGTGTTAAAACTTGTGTGCTGAATTTCACATGATGGTTTATTAGAGGTTCAGACCCAAACTGAATTTGTTATTCATTGACAATATAAGAGTTTTCTGAATAATAAGGTCTTGGGGTTTGGTGAATCATGAATGATTCAGTACTGACAGTATGCTGTTCTCCTGTAGGTGGGTCTGTTTCCTGCTAATTACGTGGAGGAGGAGCATTCAGATTACTGCTGACCAATCAACAGCTTCATCACCCCAACAACACACTCATACGCCCATACTCTGTTTACAGTCTCACCTGTGAATCCAGTCAAGCGTCCGCATCAGCAGGGTTTGCTGACCTGCACATACAGATGATTTCATCCTTTCACTGTAGACTCCAGCTCGGAGTGATTTCATTCAGATTACGATTAACGGTTGGACGGGTTCAGAAGAGCTCGTCAGTATGGATGTAATGAGCTGTTTTTTCTTGAGATTCTGATTAAAATGGTTTGAAAAGCATTGTTCTGTTCAACAAACACAGAGCCTTGACTGTACATAAATATGACTTTTATTTCCAAACAATATCAAAACAATTCAACTGAACACATATTCTGATGCCTCGAGACATGATGAAAGCAACTCGTTGTGTGTGTGTGTTAGTGGTGTAATGTGTTGCTGTGTGTGTGTGTGTGTGTGTGTGTTAGAAGTGTAATGTGTTGCTGTGTTTGTGTAATGTGTTGCTGTGTGCGTGTTAGAAGTGTAATGTGTTGCTGTGT